AGGCACCTCCCCTCCAGGGCCTCACACATTCAAGTCCACTGGTGATCGGTTACAACATTTAGGATGGTTTCTAATCTATTTATAAAGTGATTGAAGTTTCCAGATGGGGCTCTATATAAAGTCAGTATACAAATATTAGACATACATACATACATATTTATTTCGTTCCAGAGATCTACAATTGGCAGTGCTGCCTTGAGATATAGAACATGTCAATAAAAAGTACATTTAAAATGATAAATTGTTAAAAATTAAATATCCAAGACATTTAAAAAGGCCACATATAATTGTAGTACATTAACAGTTGTAGAACACAAACAAGTAACACATCAAACCAAATCACAGACACGACACCGAAACAAACAACGTCAAAAATCAGGTGCCATTCACAACAATTATAAACAAAAACAGACAGATAATATTATATTCTAGATGTGACAAATAGAAAAAGGAGAGTCTAACTTTAGAGCACATGCTTCCAGATCCTGGTCTTTGCAATAATCTTCTAACAATCCCCAATAATCCCCAACAGATCCTTCAATTTATCCTACCAAAATACCCTTTGTATTCCTCTCCTGTGACTGACATGCCCTTGGTTCTTTACTGTTGATATTTTCAAGTAATTCAATTTCAATCGAGAACTGTGTGAGAAATTGTTTTCTAACACATTGGTGTTTATGTGTAGGTAAGAATGAAGAGGCATTACTTTATAATTGACTTGCAAAGTTCAGGTTATCCACCTCAGTGTGAAACTCTGAGAAGCAGAATCAGTATCAGGATTGAATGTTGGTAGGACTATTTATGTCATTCCTTTACCTATTTCATTTTCATTACATTGTTATTCACTTTTGTTGTTATAGGTGTATTCCTTCGCTTACTTTTGCCATATAATCCTACTTGTACTGAACTGGTGAACATGAACATATGATTTTCAATAGAAATTGCATTTCTTTAAGATATATTATTAATTTTTGCTATATAATTGTATCCATTACCGATCTGGAATATGAATAGATACCAGATTGTCAGTATTCATTACATTTTTTGGTGAGATATGTTACTTTTGCCATATAAACCTTTCCATTACTGAACCGGAATATGAATAGGTACCAAATTTTCAGTATTCATTATATTGTGACGTGTTGCGCTATGGATGATGCCCCTCCCACCGCCAGCCGTGACGTGCCGAGCGGAGCCGAAGTGAGCCGAGTCCCAGCACGCTGGTTGCTAGGCAAAGCGAGTAAACAGCGGTGACGTAACACGGGACGCCGCAGTTGCTACACGGCCGTAGACAACTCCCAACAGGGTTGCTAGGCTATAGGCAAACACAGTGTCAGACAACAGTGGTGCCTATTACGTAACTGTTTTCCCGTTGTCCGGCTGAGGGTATATAAGGGAACTACACAGCCGCCGAAGACAGTTAAGTGTATCAGTCGCCGAAGTGAGTTCTCAAGGCAGCAGCCTACGAAGTTGAGTGGGAATCTAGCCAGCAGAGAGTTAAGAGTTAGCCAGGCAGTCAACCAGTCAGTTGAAGTGTAGCATTTGCAGGCTAGTATTTGTAATACTGCAGATAGCAGTAGTTGTGAATCTGTAAATTGTGATTGTAAGAGCGAATGTGGAAAAAAAAAATATCGCTATTTCCAGCACGGCGTGAAGTTACTTGTCGCGTTATACACCCAACATATGACAATATTTATTTAAGACATGTTATTATTTCCGCCATATTATTCTGCCAAGTACTGAACTGGCGAAGATGATTATATCAGATTTTCTTATATCATTAAATGCAGTCTTAATCTTGTTGACGAGTGTATTTTACATTCTCGAATTCCATCATTCTAATGGAAATAATAATAAATGGGAACATGAGTATTGTTGCTTACAATACATGATTTATAATACTTAAATATAACCGAAAAACTGTGTTCTGTATGGCTTTCAGGTGTAAGTTATGAGGAAATTATGGGGTTTAATATATTGTAGCGTGTTTTGGCGTGTCACGCTACAAATAAACTCACGTAGGTCTCAAATCCCGTGGAACCTTTATTGTTCTTCACGCTTACACAATCACACGCTTTACAATTGTTAGCCTACACAATTTCTCGGCGATGCTGGACTGTCTTCTGCGGCGGATGTTCCAAGACTCTCTTCTTCGACGGCTGGATAAAGACTGACTGCTTCTAGTCGAGGCTGGGCTATTTATCCCCTCGGCCGCTGCTATGCAAATGAACCCTCTGTTATAGCAGTGGAAACGTTGCTTTGTTGGTTCCGCGATTCCTACGCAATGACCCATTGTTATTGCGTTGTCTCTGTGGGAACGCTTCGCGTATTCGTCGTAACCGTGGAGATTTGATGTTCTCGACACAACGGCTCACTGTTGGGGTTACAGTGCCGCTATTGTTACTTCCTATGCAACGGTCTGTTCTAGCGTTTCCCTAGAAGTTACTCCTCTGGTTTGCAAACACGTTACAATATGTATCTATGGTGGAAACAGAATTTTCTTTCAAGTTTCCCCACCTTTAGCTTTCCTTAATACAAGTATTCCATGTATGTTACAGTTCACAATGTTCAGTGCCTTTGGTTAAAGAGGTGTTTCATGTGAAAGAAAGGTTATTACTTTCCAGGAACTGGTGAGAAACTTTCTCCAGATAAATAATTTGCAACCTAATCTCTTGTACTCCAGAGCTGCAGAGGCTCCTATTCCGTTGTTTTTTTTTTGAAAGGGTGGGGCGCACAGTTTAATAGCACTTCACTCAAATCCAAACCAAAGGAAATGGTGAAGTGATATTGAACTTACTTATGGAGCTGAGACCTTCTTGAGAACCCGCCAGTTGTGCAGCCACTCATGAATTTTCCAGCCTTTTATGGAACCTGAAGGTTCATTACCGTGTTCACAAGAGCCCTCCACTGGTCCCTATCCTTAGCCAGAACAATCCAATCCATACCAACCTATCTCTCTAGGATACATTTTAATATTGTCCATCCACCTACACCTTGGTTTTCCCAGTAGTCTCTTTGCTTCTGGCTTTCCCACCAATATCTTATATGCATTCCTCGCCTCCTCATTCGTGCTACATGTCCTGCCAACCTCATCCTCCTTGAGTAGTGATATTTGGAGGGGGACCCTCTGCAGTACAAGAGATCTAGTTGTAAAAGTATTTATGGCTATTCTAGCGAACAAAGCATTGGGGGGAGAGAACTCAAAACAGTTGCTATGTTAGCATACCTTCTTACCGATTATGTTCTCGGCCCTGTCGGCCATTTTAAATTTAGTTAATGTAGGATGCGAAGAGATGTCAGCAGCATTGCACCGTGGTGTCATGGCGGCCATGTTGTCTACCAATAATATGGGAGTTCCACGGGGCCGTTCATAAGAGTTGCAAGTGAATCATAAGCGATTATAAGAGGAGAAGGGAACGTGGAAGGGAAGCCGAAAATATTGATATATAAATACTACCCTGCGCATATTAAACATAATCATTAATATTTAATACAATCGGTGGCGTAAACTGTTTTGTTCCATAGGTACTGTAATAATAGGGAACTATAAACATGAGTTTCCTGACGAAAATGTTTGCTGGGAAAAAGGGAGAGAAGCCATCAAGTACTGGTGATGCGATACAGAAATTACGAGAAACGGAGGAAATGCTTATAAAGAAACAAGACTTTTTAGAGAAGAAAATAGAACAAGAAATCTCCATCGCCAGAAAAAATGGCACAAAGAACAAAAGAGGTATTTAAAAGTTATTCTGTTCTTGTATTAATCTCTTAACCTTAACAAAGAACTCTATGGAGTTACACTGACTTCAGCAGAGTATAAAACCAAGACACTAATCAGGTATTTTAAAAATTGACTAATGGATTAATACGCACTAAATCATCTGATTTATATTTAACGTGTGGATTTTCAAATTCTATGTTCTGCAAATAAACGAATTTCATGCCCTTGTACACAGTACATTTATGCCACCTTGCAAACATAATAAGACACTGTTATGATTACTGCACGGCATAAACACCTGACATGAACTCTTTGAAGTTTGAAGTTCATAAACATATTTAAAATTTAAGTTTCTGCCTCACAGAAAACATACTACTTCTCCATCACAAAGAACTGCTTAGCTGCTTCTTGTGAAAATCATATGTACCATATAAATACACTCAACAAAATGTAGAATATTTTTAGTAAATGCTGTGGTCTTTAAAAGATGTAGGTGGGTGGATAATGTCAAAGTTGAACTTATAAGGGAATGGTCCGATCTGACATGTCGAAACCTGCCCTGATTTTTTTTTCACTGCAAGAGTACACACAACAAAATCCACTGTCAAAATTTTAGCTGCTAAATACGCACTGAAAGTATTTTTTAAAAATTGCTGAAGTTACTCATTTTTTGTGTACGCGGAACCGCTTGTACCAGAGGTTTGTACAACCCCAGCTGTGTACTTGTCAGATTACGATGCATTTGTGCCGTGTTATCTCTCTACCGATGAACGGGAAGCCTAGGCTGTGAGTCAGCCGTATTGCGTTGCATACTGCTCTGCTCTGCTAGGGGTTGACATTTCTCCAAGGGTCTGGCAGGCTATAATATTGGCCATGTTCAGCAATTTTTAAAAATACTTGCAGTGTGTAGTAGCAGCTAAAATTTTGACAGTGGATTTTGTTGTGTGTATGCTTGCAGTGGGGGGGGGGGGGGGGGCGGGGT